TGGGAAAAATTTGTTAGTAAGATAATGCAAGGGTCTGTTTTGCTGTCTTATTCTAGATCCTGACCACACAGTGCAGTAGGAGTTGGTCACACTGCCTCCAACAGTTCTGGAACAGCCCTCTGAGACCATCACAAAAAGTGCAACATACAAACACACGGCACAGAATGAGCTTCATGAAAAAATATACCAATTCCAGTTGTAACCTGGGTTCTCAAAATCAGTCTTAGCCAGCGAGGGAGGCTCAGCAGTGAAGCACGGATTTACTTCATGTAGAGTGTATGTACTCACAAGGAATACAGCCAATAGTTTGATAAATGCATCTGCCAAAGGTGCAGAGTCAGTGCAGTCAGCTCCATCCCAAAATATCTGCGTGCTGCATGATGAGCTTGGCAGCCAAGCACAGATCTCCTGAGAAAAGCAGGCTGGGGAAGTGAAAAGGTAACGTTTAATAGCTCCTATCAAAGCAAATGCTGAACAGAATTTCATGGGCTATTTCTGTTTCTGTGCTAAACAGCAAAGGTCTACTGCAAATAGCAAAGAGTTCCTCTAAAGAGAAAAGGTCACAGGAATCTTTCACAATGGAAAATGCTCTGTTACACAGATCAGTACCAGCTCCTAATACAAAAGAAATACCATTTTTCTGTGCAACTTCTTATTGTCTCCATATGTTTACACAACAGAGACGCCAATTTCAGCCTTTCCTTTCAAGTCTGTTTTCAAAAATAAAAGAATACGAGAATATTTGGCTAAGAGGGTTTCCTTCAAGTGAAGAGAATGTGAGGTGCAGAACAGACGTGGGATTACTGACTCGCTCACAGAAACACGATGGAAGACATTCAAAGACACAGACCTCTAGCTCAGCTCTGCTCCCACTGCCCTCAGCTCTTACCAAAGGCTCCTACCATTGCCTTCAGCCAACAGGAGCTGCATACCGCTTCCAACTCAGCCATTATTACCTTTCAGTTTAAAATACATAACGATCCTCATAACAGACTGAAAAACATTTCAGGAACTTTTAAAATCTGTTCCTCCAAGACACGTTTTTATTTTTTTAAGCACGCTGAGACACAGTTCCTGGATGGGAGCACATGTGACCAGTTCTAAATAAAGTCTATTTTCCACTTCTTGCACAACTGGAACAGATGTAAGCAGTAGCCTGAACAAACTGCATTGCAGAACCTAACCAGAATATAAAACACTCAAATAACATCCGTAAATAGCAGTGCTATGAAGACTACCTCCAGTAAAGCACAAATTCAGTGCTGAGAAGCCTCAATGTAATCAAGTTCAAATTTAATCACGCTGCAAAGTTCATTTGCAAAATTAAATTTGATCATCTGCAGATTGAGGCACTTCAGAAGAGTCCTGTTGGGCTCCACAGTAAGCACACATCTCAGAAACGTTTGCCTCTGGTTACATTAACGTTTCCTCAACAAACACTGGGCATTCTAAGGAAAGCTGTTATTAAATTCGGTCTTCAGTGCTCAGCACAGAACCAGGAGAAAGCAAGTGCTCTCCAGGGGATCCCAGCTGGGCAGAGGGGAGGTACAAGCAGATGGAAGTAAGGTACCGACAGCTTACATCACTGCTGCAGCAATGACAAACTCTACAGCTCAATGCTATTGCTCATAAAGCAAGAACAAGCTTCCTCTACAAGCAACACACAACTTAAAAGCATTTCCTAATCATTTTTTCCACTAAAAATAACTCCAGTAGCTGCATCGTTCCAAACCAGTCTGAATATAAACTGGCTGCAAAAGGGTAAAAGAAAATAGCACAACCAGTAGCAACCTAACTGCAGGTATGTGGCTTTATTTAGAGCAAGGAAGTAAGTGACAACAGCTGATAATTATGTCCTGGCACTTCAGAGGCAGCTCACACCAATGCACACACATTACAGAGAATCAAGAAAACAGAGCATTTTTTTCTCTTTTTTTTTTTTTTTGGTCAGTATTTGGGTCAGTTCAGTGCACTGTGTGCACCTCAGTGGGTCAAGCTGTGCTTCAGTGGTACTCAATCAATATCCACCCAAAGGAAAACATGTACAGAACAGGGCAGGAGCCGGGTCAATAAGTGGTAACAGCATGCAGAATAGGCAACAGGACAAAGTAAATACTGCAGCAACTGCAAGCAACTGCAGCAGGCTGTGAGGCCTTCCCTTAAAGAGCTCAGTTTGATACCCAAGGTAGAGCTTTAACAAGTCAAATGATTTAAAGAAACCACGTTAGTACTGTGACAGATGTACTGTAACAGTGTTCTGGTGACTGCGTGCAGAGGTGACATCTGTGTTTACTTCTGGCAATCGGTGATTACTTTCTTCAATCGATTGTCTGGAAATAAAACTCCACCTATTTCACTGTGCACTGCTTACACCAAAAAGGAAACCTTATTTACCTGCTCATTACAGAAACATGTAGGTACTCAAGAGTGTGATCTTATAAATCGGTCTCCAAAAATAAGGTGGCAGAGGAATGAAATACAAATGTGAAAAGAGGAAAAGAAACCATGCCCAGGCACTGAGACATGAGTTCAAATCCAGTTTCCTCCCACAGTGAGGAGTCACTCCGGAGAAACCAAAGCAACCAAACCATCATCTCAGTTTTCAAAGATGTTCAACCACAGCAAATTCCAGAGAACCCTAAGTGTATCTAGCACTTTGTACAAGAAGCTAGGTTCTTACAGACCTGGAGAGTTTAGGAACCGTGGCTGGAAATGATGCATCTTTGTCCAATGAGTTCTCTTCATCCCTTGTGATTAAAGCTTTTTGCTGACATTTTTCTCTGGCCTCTAGCATTCAGCTGTGGCTTGGCCTAACTTCGTACAGTATTTGCAGCAAAAAGCTTTTGTTATTGGACCCCTGGTGGCTTTGGATTGCAGACTTGAATTATGAAATATGGATGGACTAACTGAGAGGGCACATCAACAAGGAGGAATATCGAGCTGCATGTCATACACCAGAAAACAAGCAACTGGGGAGGATGTGAGGAGAACATGATCTGAACAAGAAGCAGCCAGGACCAAGTTCAAGTGCCAATAAAACATTTATTCTAGGGTCAGAGCCACTGGCACTGCTACATACTGCTGAGTTGCGTGGCTTTTTCTATCTACTCACAATTTCAGTGCTACGAGTAAGCTGAGGATGCTTCTCACTTCTTACTGTTAAAAAGCATCAGAGAAAGCCCTGAATGTTGCTAGGAAATCAGTAGTTCTCAGCAAGGAAAGTAGCAGACCACTATTAAATCCCATCCCCTAACACCAGAGCTTGCCTTTGTTCTGCCTGCTCCCCTGGGTAACTCTGTAGAGGAGACTGTAAGAAAGGAGTTCTCGTGGCTACAACCCCATCATGACACCATTTGAACTTGGTGCTATGCCATTACTCTGATTGCATTACAGGAGAAAGCAGCACAGTGATGCTGGATTCCCCAACAACCACACGTCAGGCTCGGTTCAGGCCTGAGCAGCTCTGAAGGACTACTGAAGTCTCCGTAGATTATAGTCTGCATGCTATGAAGCAAGCTGGCTTGTGAGCCACTTCTGCCACCCATTATCAGGTTCCATCAGTCTGGCTCTGGAGCTGGGTTTACATGGACCTAATAGGGATGTCTGGATCCTTGGCTCTTCAGCTCCAGCGGGGCCAGGAGATGCTGGGACTCACCTGGAGGTGACAGGTGCACACAAGGCAGCAGGTGACATAGCAAGGTCAGCACATCAGCCAATATGCTGGGGAAAGTCAGGGAAGCCCAAAGTGACAGCAAGGCAGCACGTCGCAAGAGCCAAATGTGCTTGTAACATTTGTGCAAGACAACTTACAGATTACAGAGGAGATGACTTCAAAGGGACAAAACTGTAGCACACACCACCCAGAACCTGGGGCTGCTGCAATCCGGGCTGATAGCTGTGAATTGGTGACCTGCACAGTGACTGCTACAACACGGTCACTGACCCCACACCACCCCAGCTGCCTCCACAGCAGCAGGTCCACCTCCTCTGCACCCTTCACATCTTTCACTATAAGACTGCCGTGTTTCTTCAGTGCTCAGAGCACAATCAAGAATTCATTTGAAGTCAGTCTGACACGCAACGCAATCCAAGTTCATTCCAGCAGTTTTTAATATTTACCTTCCCATTCATTTTCCAGCTACACACACAGCCGGATGCAAAGCATTGTTCAGAAGCACAAGCCGTGACTGTGAAGGCAGGCTAACAGCCCGGGCTGCAATGAGATCCACCCATAGCAGAACCCGGTGCTGAGGTGAGGGTTCACTCCTAGCCCTGAGCTCAAAGTGGAGACACACAAAAAGCAAAGGAGGACTCAGGGCAGCTGGGGGCACTTCCAGCACCACGAGTGAAATCAGGCACCGTAATACACCACAAGAAATAGAACTCTGTGTGGTTTTATTCCCCTTTAAAAAAAAATATATATATATATATATCTCTAAGCGACACAGCCGCTTTTTTCCCGCTGCGGGAAAAACAAAACAAACAAAACAAACCAAAAAAACACTTCAGGAAGAAGCTGACACACCTCGCCGAAACTTTCCAATCCCCAGCGTTCGCTCGCACACAACACACCTGCTTTCAAAGTCAAATGAAAGAGATCGGCCCGGAACGCGAGACCTTGCGGCGACCGCGCAGCCAAAGCGTAAAGCCCGGACCGCACCGCACCGCCTGTCCCCGTCCGGCCGGGGCTGCGGGACTCGACGGGACGGGACGGTGCGGTGCAGCGCAGAGCAAAGCAGTGCAGAGCAGCCGGCCCCGTGCCCCGCCGACAATGCCCTTTACATAATGGCACGGCGGGGACGGGCCCGCCCCGCGCAGGCCGAACAAAACTGCCATTCTTGCAGGAAGCACCGGCTCAATGGCTGCTTTTAACGCGCTGCTCCGCGGGACGTTCCCCTCCGGTGCCGTTTATCGTGGCCGCTCCCAACCCGTTCCCTTCCCCCAGGCCCCGATCCACGCCAGGACAGCGCGTCCTCCGCGGCCCGGCCGCCGCCGCCCACCTGCTCTTGAGCGGCTGACTCTTCAGCTCGTAGTACGTCTTGGGCTCCTCGTGGAACTCCTCTCCCACCTCGAAGTCCGGCACGATCCCCGACTCCGCCTGCATCGTCGCCGCCGCGAGAGGAGAGCCGCGAGGTGACCGCCGCTCTCGTTCCGAGCCGCGCCGCTCCCGCACGCCTACAGCGCCGCGTCCGCCCCGCCCGGTACTGAGTCCGCCCCGGGGCCGGGCTGGGCCGGGCCGCCGCCTCCGCCCGCCGCAACGCTACAGCGAGAGCCCCGCGCCGTGCCCACCTGCGGCCCCTCGGCCCCCGCCCCGCTCTGAGCTCGCAGCGTGACGTCACGGGGCTCTGAGCACAGCTGGGCGTGACGTCACCGCCCCTTTGCGAGGCGGGGCTTTCCGTGACGTCCCGAAAATCCGCGTTTCGGGGTCAAAGTGGAAAAGTACGAGCTGGGGGCCGGCCCTTGTTAGCGGGACGGGCTCGGCGTGCGGTGAGAGGCAGGGAGGGACGTTCTGAATGCAAACGATGCGCAGGGAAAGTGTCGAGGCGGCATGGAGTGAGGTTTGTGGTAATACGTGTAGAATGCCGGGGATTCCCGTAACAGGACGGGGTGAATTTCCAGCACAGCAATTTCAATTCTTCCTTCAAGTTTTACATGCATTTATAAATGAGCAAAAAACAAAAAAACCCCATAAACATCGCTGAGAAAGGTGTAGTAAAATTACTTAAAAAGAACCAGCTGGGTTTCAATCGTTTGCTGCAGAAATCCTGAGAAGTACGCCAGATGGATTGCTGCAGGAGCAGAGAAAAGCAAGCATCCCATCCCAGAGCTCTGCACAAAGGGATGCTGTGACTGCAACAGCCTGGCTGGCTGCTCACGTCACACTGCGCGCGAGCAAAGTTGAGCACAAATATCAGCATTGAGTCCCAAATGGCTCTGCAGCCTCCAAACTCCGTGGAGTGACTGCACAGCGAGAGCAATTACTTTGCTGAATCTGAATCAGAAGGCAACAACTTGGATAGGGCCCCGAAGAGTGTTCTTTTGAGCCCACATTGGCAGATGGTGGGGATAGCTCTGAGGAGCCGTGGGCTTGCTGACTTCTCTGGGGGAAAAAAGGAGGGGGAAAAAGCAACCACCAAACAAACAAACAGTGAGAACAACCTGCAAAAAGCCCACTGCCAAGCTGCACCTCCAGCTGAGCTCCTCGAGATCAATGAGATGCTTTTGTGAGTGAAGGATGGTGCAAGGAAGCATGGAGCAGGACGCAGCTGGTTGTAAGGCTTCTCTTCTATTTTTCTAGGTGCAAAAATGATATATTCTGCTGTTCAAAATGTACAGCGTATGAGGTTTCAGCTTTGTTTTAATTATAGCACTAGTTCTAAAGATCCAGTATGCAAATCTCTGTCCTAGGCAATGACACTGCTCTGGAGATATTGCAGCTTCAGTAGCAGCATGCGCACAGCTCGCAGCACAGAGAACACTGCCTTTCCTTTCACTGCCCCACAAAGCCCTTATTTCTGTCTTTCACCCCCTTTCTGGGCCATCACACAGTTGGTGTTCAGTGGGCAATATCTCACAGCACCTGGGCTAATGGGAACCTTGACAGCGTTCTGCTGAGTCACAAAAAGCTCTTCTCATAATAGATGGCATTGGTGTTTATAATTCTTTGGTAGAGCTTATCCTTCAGAGCGAAGGAACAAAATACTTCCCCTGGGCCGAAGCAGGATATTAGTACATAAACACACCCCCAAACAAACACAGAATTTGCTTGAAGGTGAACCTATTATGCTAATATTGCAGTTAATTTGCTATAAAAGTAAAGGAAACTAAACTCTAAAGATATTCGGTGAAATTAAATAAGAAGTGCCTGTTGTGCTGTCACGAGTTCTAGATTTCTGTAGAGCAGTTCTATGGAGCATTGAGTGTTTTTCAGTTGTGGATGTCCAGCTTCTTTAGGGAAGCAGGGAAGAGCAATTTCTGACAAAGTGGGAAACAAAACACAAAAAAAGTCATTGGTCACGCATCAAATCAGTGGCGGCACTTGAGTTTTATTGCACTGATTACATTACAGATATAACCCCACTGAGACCTTTCCCATGTAGGTTTTCTGTGGCATTATCATTCCTTCAAGGCCCGTGACCACTCTCACAGCCACGTAGCCATGGGAAGCAAGCATGTTGAGCAGAACTGCTCTACTGTTATGATTATTTTCCCCTCATGGTTACTCCTTGCCTCCCTTATTTGTAGCAGCTTCACTTACAGATCCCATAAGTTGTATTTTTCTTCTCCTGACCTACAAATGCCATTTGAAACAGTTCTCCTATCAGTACTGTCACTCAAAGTGCAGTCTGGGAATCTCTTGTGACATCAGGAGCAGCAACATTATTTGGTATCTCTGTCAGTAGGCAAAACATTTGCCACCCAACTCAGCAGAGTTCCCAGTTTGAAAGAATTTCCCCACAGCAACTGTTTGTGCATTCATCTGAAGGGAAAAGGAAGCAGTCAATGCTGCTATTCAAAAAAGCAAACAGGCATGTGATAATTTTGAAGAAAGTTCCCAGGCCTTAGCACTCATACTCTGCACTGTATGCTGTGAGATCTGGGATGAGAACAGCATTACTCCAGCAGATCAAGGCAAAAAAATCTTTCTACCTTCTCTCTCTATGGGCAGAATACTCTGACATACAAGAAAGCCAACCGCCACATAGAGTGCAGTAATTCCACGTGGTTCATTTGCATGCAGGGGTTGCCAGACACCAGAAGCAGGCAGATGTTTTGGGGGGAATCCAACAATTCTTTTGAGAGAGAGAATAACAGCCTGGGTGCCCCACACCAGGCAGGACAGCTCACCCCACACAGCGTGGGGCCACTTCTAAAAACATTCCCTGCGAGATTTGCATCTGCTTCTCGTAGAAAAAGTTTCTGGTTCTCTCATGAGCACCCCAGGATAGATAAGCAGAAGTCATGTTTTAAAATAGAGCTTCTAAGACTACTTCATCATACTTGGAACAAAGTCTAAAATGCTGTCAGTCCCAGGCTGGTTTTATCAGCAGAACTGAAGGTGATTAATTCTGCAGCTGGGCTCCTGAATGAATTCTGTTCCTTTAATGAGTCATGCACTAATCCCTAGCCTTTTCTTTCTTCATCTCTACCATATTCTTCTGTACTTAAATGGATAGGTGACAGAAAAATTCAAGGGGAACTACACAGTATCCTTAAGGGTTTGATTTTCACGCGTTCCTCTTTCCGGATGCTATCTCATGACACGGGTTAGCAACAGCAGTGGTAGCACAAACAGAAGCTGCAACAGCAATGTCATCCTGACTCTGCTTTAGGAAACATAAAAAAAAAAAAAAAACCTGGACTGGGGTTTCAGTTATTCCCTCCAGTTCTTGTTCAAAAGACAGGCTTTCAAGATTTCCACAGTTAAGAGAGCGAACAGATGCTGCTAGCTCCAAGCAGATAGTGTTGGAGGTCACCACATCTCTGTAAGTGAGGAGCTGCAGATCCTGCAGCCAAGTGGGATTGGGCTGTAGGCAGCCTGGTCTACTGGGAGGTATCTCTGCCCGTGGGACAGAACTGGAAATGAATGATTTTTAAGGTCCTTTGCAGCCCAAGCCGTTCTATGATTCTATCATCTTCCCTGGCCTGGGGTGGGACTGCAGGATGGAGAAGAAGACATCTGAGGGTTCTCCCCTTGGGTCCATGGCCAGCAGAGGACCTGGGGGGTTACCTCTGGGAGAGCAGCAGCAGAGTGAGACACCATGTGCTGCCACCCAACAGTGACAGTTGGGCTGGGAACAAACCTTTAAAACTCAGTAAAAGCAATGGAATAAAGCCTGTGGGGGCAACCTTATTTGGTGCAACAAATCTGCTTAATTAAACTGGTGCAAAGGCCACAGCAGATGTGGATAAACCAAGTTAAATTCTAACACTGATTTAACGTAATTTGGTACAGCATCAGTGCTAGTTAAACTGATCATAGTTAACTGGTTTCAATAAGTTTGCCCCAAGTACAGGCACTGGCTTAACTAGACTGCTTAAAGCCAAGAGAGATCTTCAGCTCTGCCAGATTTTCCCTGTTGTATTTAAACCAGCACAACCTGTAGGGACATGTGAGCAACTGCTTTTAACAGGGAGCAAAGTGCATCGAGAAAAGAGGACTTGGCCCAGGAATGCTGGTCACAGGCACCTTATTCTTAGCTTTCCTGAGAAACTGTGTCATCTTAACATCAACAACACTTAGGTCTAAATTCGTTCCTGAAAATCCTATTATAAAAGGTGAAACCAAAATCACTTTTTTTTTTTTTTTTCCCAAAATATACATAATCTAATCAATCTAAGGGGAAGGTGTTTGTTCTGTCTCCCCGCTGCCCAATAACAGTTTTGAATGGAAAGCCATTTTTTTCTCAGTAAGAACTTTCTACAGCTTTATTTTTGATACAGACATGTGAATGCTTCCCAAGCTTCATCTGTCTTTTGAGAGACACTTCATTACAGGAGCTATTTGGAGAATAAAACTTCCATTATTTTTAAGAGTTCAAGGTTATACACTGGAAATACAAACGTCTGTACTTAGTTGTCACAAGCTTGCGTACTAAGCTCCTCATTTTCCTGATTCACATTGGGCCTTTACACACATTCCATGAAGCACAAACCCTCTCAAAACGTCTTAGGATACACATTCCCTACCTGAAGTCAGAATCCCTTTGATTTTTCTCATTGTCCATATTTCCACAATCCTTTTCTTTAACTTCAAACTACACAGAAATAATTAGTACCATAAAAGACCCAAGCCATACAGAAGGAAAAGATTCCCAAAACTCTTCTTGAGTCATCATTAGGTGCTTTGTTCAGAATCTGTCTACTGCAGAAATTCCAACATACTTTTTCCCCCCTTTTCTCTCAGTGGGTTGCCACTGCTCTGACAAGAGACAATGTAAATTTGTGTCATTGCCTGCATCTACCTGGAATGGAGAATTTGCCAGAGGGATCTTTTTGTGAAGGCGAGAGACTTGGTTTAAAAAAGTAGGCTTTGTCAGATCCATTGTGAAGGAAAGAACCTGATAGTCAGGCACAAGAATGTATCAAAGACTTGGTTTTGAGATGCTTGCATTCCAGCTGAAACCCCATAAAGAGAGGATGCCCCTTCTCTCAGTACAAATCCAAGGACAACTTTGAATGTTTACCTCAAGTGTGTCCATACACGAAGCAGCAGGTTAGGCAGCTTGCCCACCAGTCAGCAATATGACTTTATGTCCTCAGGTTTACCTTCTGTGCACTTATCAACTCTCACTCTCCATTTCTCTGCTCCGTGGTCATCCAGCACTAGTTAACATTAATTTTGGTCTGTGAAGAGGGAGGGCACAATGCACTTTAGGAGAAAATCAATGTATACCAAAACCATAACCCATAGGCCAGCCACATGCAAGGCAATGACCCCAACAACAGAGCGTGAACCACTGCTTTTGAAGCATTCATTCTGGCAACCCTTTGGGAAGCACTGATGTCAACATGACTTAGTTGATTATTAGAAGAGTTGAAAAGGAACACCACTGTCTGGACCAAATTTTACACAGTTAGGTGATTAGAATACATGAACAGACAAGAGGCTTAACTTTCCACATCCTTCTAGATGATGTACTATGAGAACCGGGTATTCAAGCTGCTTCACATGGCCTCAATTACTTGGCAGAGCAGCTTTCATAGACATGGCTAAAGTGAGTTGTCTTCCCTCCAAGGAGCTATTCAATAAGAAAGCCAGACCTGGAGTTCATGCTGCCTACTTTCCCAGAAGTTAATGCCATTACTGTGGCAAAATGGAATAAAAAGTACACTCTGTTCTGTTGTGGGAGAATGGAGAAAATACCCTCTAGTGATTTCCATTAAAATGTCATTGCACAGCAAGCCTTAACACAAAGTTATTTGCAACATGGAAAGCCCCTGCTCAGCAGCATACTAAGTGTACTAGGTAGGTATGAGCTCAGAGCAGCCAGATTTGCCTGGCTGAGTTACCTCCCCACGTTCACCTGGGCTGC